GAGACCCAATCCTGAAAAGCATTTAGCTAGTAAACCCTTGTCCTTAAATTGGTAAGATATCCCTACCTATATAGTAGTTAGGGCTTTAAATGCCTTTGAGGTATGAGGCCTTAGCTTTTAGGTTTGTTTTAGCCAAACCTGCGAGGCAAACTGTCAGAGGCTGTGAACTGAAGCTAGAAATATATACTGAGGTAGACAGGCACTGCTGTAGGTACAGATACATGCAAACCACGAGATTTTAAGGAAGGGGTCTTAAACATGCCTGGGTAGCCTCAAGGGAAACTCTGAGAGGTTTTGCCCATTAGGTTGTATTTAAACATTGCAGCACCAGCAGTTTTTGTATGGTATGTTATTTCAGTTTCTCCCTCCTCTCTACTGATAACAGAGATGATTCATGGCTTGGGTTGGAGGCAGACAGATGAAATTCCAGTTTCTCCTACCAAGAAAAGAAATACAGTGAGGGGGTCCTTTACAAAACAGCATTTGATACCATCGATGTCTTTGCTATTGAAATTAGTGCTTGAGAGAGAGGTATGAAGAAAGCAAACTGTGTTCTCATTTAGGGCTTGTAAAGAGATTAATTTTCACAAACATAATGAAGCCTGTTTTAATTCACACCTTTTTGTTTTAGTTAGAAAGCTGTCATATGAACCATCTTATTTCAGAAGAGAAGTGTAGAAGTGTATTACTTTGTGTTTTATAAAAACAGCCTGTACTTTTTTTTTTTTTTTTTTTTTTTTAAAAAAAAAAGGGTCTTTTCACAGCCAGGCTTGCATTGAGATAAACTGGAAAATATAAATTAAGAAAATGACATTATTTTAATTTGACTGTATATGTAGAACAACCTAAAAAGCTGCCTGAAGACCTTTTAGGTCATTTGGGAGGAAGATGTGTGGCTATGAAAAAAGGCATAGGAAAGCAGAATAGGAGAAAGGCTTGTTTTCCAGAAGCTTTTAGGCTTGATCTCAGTTCATACGCTGGCTTTCCTAAAAGCAGTTTGAAAAGAGGAGACAGCTTCATTCCTTTCTAAAGGCTTTTAAAGAAAGTCTGTTTGTGCTGTTAGAAATGGTCTGAAGGCTAGAAAGAGTCCCAGCCTTCGTCTTGAGAGCAGCTTGACATGACCTACCATATTGTCTTGAACAAGGGACATGTCTGCATAACAGTTGGTGGCATCAGTTTATTCCTTGGAATACAGAATATTGTCTGTGTGAAGCCAGATTTATGGCCCTCTGCAGACGGGATGTCACTTGCTCCATCTATGCTGCAAGCCAGGGAGACTGATCTGAAGAGGACAATGTGATAGGCACTGCTGGGGCCCTAAGCACAGCACCGGGCTGATGAGAACACATCTTGTTCACATCTAACCAGATTAAGCTGAGTAAGCAAGGAACTATGCAGGAGCACCACACCCTACAATAAAGCATCTGTCTTATTACTTTCACACCCTAATAAATGTGACTAATTTGCCCTTATTTTGGAGAGCACGATCTGGGGGAAAATTCTGCGGTGTTGTGAGAGGAAATACTGTAATTCACATTGGCCAGTAATGACTGTCACTTCTTATGGGAATTCAGTTTTGTTTCCAAACGTTGGAAGCGACAGATTTCTTTTGCAGCCCTTTGTGTGCAGAGAGATTGATACTAAAGACTTGCATTTTTGTCATCTCAAAATACATAGTTCAGGATTTGACAGGGTGTGCTGCTCTTCCTCTGCATGGCCCTCTGGCCTTTAGTAGAAAGGAAAAGAGAGTTCACAGCCATAGGTTACTGTGAAGAGACTGGGAAATATTGGGACAGAAATAGCATCTTGTAGAATTCATTCAAGTGCTCATCAGTAGGACACAAAATCCAGGTTTCTTGCAAGACTTAAGCTCTTGGACTTTAGCTTTGGTCTGTAGTCTTTCTAGCTCACCCTCTATGCACAAAAGAATATCTTCAAGACTGTGAGGCAGATGTCATCCTGACGTGATGGTGCAAAGGTCACACAAGTGCTTGCAGTCACTGTCACTGCCTGAAGAGACTTGGCTGTCTCTGGGGTACCTGGACACATTTTGCATCTTTGAAGTGGGGCAGACCCTTTGCTCAAAGGGTGTCTCAACATTGGCATCGGAGCTTTGCTGCCTGGTAGCCATGTGGGGCTGTGGAATAGATTTTCTTTCCATGTTTCTTTTTGGTGAGTCGCTGCAAGTGTTGTGCTGTCCTTCTACTCCCCTTGAGTTCTTGAGCTATCCCAGCTTTACACCTCAGGGATCTCGCATATCAAGAACATAGGTTGTCCAATTTAGTACTAGAAGAGATTTCTTTAAATGTATTTATCAATGTGTGATGTACACTTACTATCATGCAGCATTAAGCTTACATGTTCAAGTGAAACTGGAAAAAAAAAATTGTTTTGGCTTTCAGTTTGGAGATGCTCAAAGCTAATATTTCCATAGAAACATTGACTGTCATACAGTATGTGTGAAATCTTAGAAAAGAAGATCAATACACAGGTTTGTTATAAGCTAAATACATACTTAAAAATAACTCAGAACTTACTGCATGATATTAAAAAATCATGGGAATCTCCTTCCTTAGTTTTGACCAGTGGACCTAGGCTGAATGTATTTCCAGGGGTATGTTTGGGGTGGGAAGTGTTCTGCCATAAAATACTTAGTGATGCACGCTGAAGTAGATGTAATGTTGCTGCAATAACTATTGGGCCAGTTTCTCTATAGCTAGCTCTATAAACCAGAAACACCAAGAATGTCAGAGAAATGTGAAGGAAAGGTCAAAGGAAAATTAAGCTCCTCAAATACTTGTGTTTTTATGTCTTTCTGCATCTTAAGATTTTGGAGAGAAATGTCAATGCTTTTTTTTTTCCTTGCATTTAATTAAATATTTTTAATAAGGGGGGGGGGGAAATCTCCTTCTGTGTAGTAACATGAAATTTCAAGCCAGGTATTTTCAGTGAGTTTTAATTAAAGTAGGTTATAAGTCCTCTTTTTCTTACCTTTCTGGTGGGGCAGTACAGAATGGATAGAATATACATTACAACACTGTAAGTATGTTTGATCCTATATGAAGATTTTGGCTGCTGCATGCCAAATATGCCTTAGACATATTTAGGTTTTCTTTTCCTCCCAACTACTTTATCATGCAATGAATTATAAAAAACCTTGTCAAAGAAATAAAAAGTGTTGGCAGAAATAATTGAAAATAAACACCTCCTGTAGGAAGTGAGGGATTCTCCATCACTTGCAATCTCAAAATATGCAGTTGAAACGTTTAAGAATATCCTGTCATTTGAGTTGATAATTGGAAGACTTGCTTTACCTTGTTACAAAGGGGTAGATCTGGATGATCTGAGGTATTCCTTCTGGCCTTGAAGTGTATCACTCCACAGGGTTTTAAAATAAAGGTGTTTGTGGAGGAAAAGAATTGTTGACAGAGGTCGAAGGAAGCCCTCATTCTCCCCTACTGCCCTTTCTACTGATTTCTTGCATGACTCAAAGATCTTGAGCAGGATTTTCCTCAGACTTCAGGGTGAAAAAAAGTTTACCCCAGTTTGGGAGCAAAACTATGGAAGATTTCAGCCCAAGAAGAACATCTCCAAGACTGCAAAAGCAGTCAAGTTTAGGTAAACTTTTTTTCAGCTTCACTGGTGGTGTTTGAGTTAAACAAACCCTTATGTTCTATAGATCAATCGACAATAACCAGTATTGGTCAGATTAAGTCTACATTTGCATTTTAGTTACTGTTTTTTGTACTGAAAGATCTTAATATGCAGTGAAGTGACTGGAGGTGTATCAGGTGCTCTTTTCTTTAAGCCAGGGTGAGTTAAAGCACATAATTTATTCCTCCCTACATCAGTAAAGAGTTAAAAAAAGGATCCCATAGCAATGCAGGGAGGTTGGTTTTATGCAAAACTAAGCAGCCAGCTCTAATGCCACTAATTAGAGCCCTGGTTACAAAAGAGAAGTGTTAGCTGAGGTGACAGTTACACAATAATACAGTTAGCTCTGATGCCTTTTTTGAATAGTGGGACATAAATTTTTTTGCAGCTGGCTTTATGCAGATGTTTATTTGTATAACCCCCAAAAGGAGCTTTCATTTTGTTCTCAAGTCATTGAAGGCATTTTTATTATTTATAGGGTGAAAGCTTGAGAAAAAGACTCTGCAAAGATGTTTTGGATAGTGACCATAATAGGGTGGCTGCGCAGCAAGGTATGGGGCTACACACCAACTCTCCCAGAGTTCAAAAATGTGCAGATCTGAAGAACATCTTAGGATCTCACTCTAGGGTTCATCATGTTCATCATTTCAACCTGGCTGCACAAATAGCGATGAATGATTTCTTTTGCACTCTTTAGCAATCCTCTTAGCTCAGGAAGAAATATGGTTTAACATTCTTCTGTAGTATTTACTTTTTTTGGGGTTCCATACTTGTTCACTGTCATATTCCTATTTTCCCATGTTAATGTAAGCACTGCTGATCTGATGCTGCTGAAATGTCTTTTGGTCTTGGGCTGGTTGAGAAAACAAAGTCAGACATACTGTCCTCTCTTTAAATTTTCTTAATAAAATGCTGACATGAAATAAAAACAAGACAGAGATTATTAATGGCTGTAAAAAAAACTTTAAAAGTTTTACTGTGTTGTTACTTCCGTATACCTTTGTTACTGTAAGGTTTTTTATGGAACGCTTACTAGTAAATGCTTTGTTTCTATTAATCAGGAGTAATTGTAATCAACTTCTAGTACAGTGTTAATGTATGAAGACTGTAGATGGTGGAAGGAAAAAATAGTTTAAATCTTTCACTGTCATTATCCTCTTAGTCCATTAGTATCACATGCTATTTGAAAAACAAAGCAAAAGAACTGTGTTAAGAAATGTGAAATGAAATAAAATACAGAAAGTGCAAACGGCGAAGCACTGGGTTCTGCATGAGCAGCCAGACATGCTCTGCCTTGCCAGCTAGGCACTGTGCCTTGAGAAGGGATACCTGGGAATTTATGCTGCTCTGGGGTTCAGTTCTGCTCCTCAGATACACTGAGAGTAATTATATACTCCAGGATTGTCCTATGTCAGTCTGCTGCTGTGCAAAGTTTCCTATGTGGATATCCATCCAGGGAAAATGATGGTGTGCAGGGATCATGATGCCATACAGGTCTAGCAAGGATCTGTTTTCAGTGTTTATTCCTTGGAAAAAGGATGCTAATTGTAAAGAGCCATGCACACCTACTGTGAGCAGGTACATACATAGCAGTATAAGTAGACATGTGAAGCTCTGAGATTTTGGCAGTGTTTTATTGCTCTCGTGAGTTCTTTATGTCGTTTACAGTATTCTGTGATCATACAGTTCAGTATCCAGAGCTCTGGAGGTGAGCTGGGCTACTGAAGAAAAACAAGCCATGTTTGAATGATCAGGCCAACATGAAAGCATGACTCCACTGCACTTATGTTGTGCAATGACTTGACGTGGTACGTAACAGCATTAGGAGTCTGGTGGATGTGCAGGGTGGGGATTTTTGTTGTCTGGTCAGAAAAGGAAAAACCATTTTCCCAGGCCTTCTGTGATGGCAGTATCTTGATTTAAATGTTCTGCCTGTCAAGGGAAGAAGAAACTTTTAATGTCTTCAAGTATCCCATGGTTTTAAACACTTCCTCAGGAGGGAGTGTGCTGTGACCCTTGTCTGTGAAACCTTTACAGGTCATTTCCCCTTCCCAAGGTTATTTAAAGAAAAATAAAAAAGTTGCTTGGCTTCTCTTTCAGGCTAATCCACAGGAGCAGATTAGAGTCCTTATTTGCCTTGAGGGACTGTTTTTTTATGATCATTCACAGGTGGATAGGTATAGAGTAAAGTCAGTATTATGCTGACTTTGTTTCCTTATTACAGGGAAAGCTTATGTCACATCACATTTTCTTTTGTCTTTTCCTAACTTTTTGACTAATGACAGGCAGCTGGGTTACAATAATGAGCACCCATTAGATCAAATAATGTGCTTCCAGGTGATCAGGTGCTACAATGTCAGACTGAGATCCGAGAAGTGGATGCCCACCTTCAGCAGCTATCATAGTTCACATGTGTCTCTCCACAGTAATTGCAAGCTGTCTGGCCTTTTGCGGGAAATAAATCTGTACTATGCTGCCTCATTTGTTGATGTACCTTTCCATGACTTACAAGTCAGTTCACAATTATCTTTTAGGCACAGAGAGATCATCATGTACTTCAGTTGCTTTGGTAACATTTTCAGAGAGAAGGAGGTAGTGGTGAGACAGGTCTTGGCACAGGACCACTACTGGGGTCACACTGTACTCAGCATGATGGTGGTTCCTGCTTGTGACCTTAGAGAAATGTCTTACTAGTGCTGTCATCATTTCCGTAGTTGATGTAAAGTGGAAACTGCAGTCGTGGCACATAGGCTATAATGAACCTGAAGAAGTGCAGAAGTTTAGGGGACGAAGAAAAGATGTTCGCTTCCTCTTGCTAGGAGCATATTTATCAGTAATCATAAATTATTAAGAGCTATGATCTGTTTGGTTTAGAGATTATACATCTGTGTGCTAACCATTGTATCCCAAGACCCAGAATACCAGGTCTCGCAGGCAGAAGTTAGATGACAGTGAGGAGCATGAAGCCTTTGAAAGGCCTGTAGATATATCCTGAGTAACAATCTTTTCCCTAACATACTGAAGAACACACACAAGTGAATTCAGCCAGAGATGGTCTGGGTTTGTTAGGAAAGCTGTTCTGCTTGTCTCTGCCAGCTGTAGCTCCTCCTGAGGAGCCACCTTAAATCAGATCATGGTCCCTGCATTGTTGCCGAGTGTCATCTTTAAGCAGTTGCTGATGCCACAACTTACTTTCTACTCTAGAAACAAAGGTACTTCTCTTATTCTTCAGTTTTAATCTCTGGAAGGACCTCGAGTTGGATTTCTGTTGAGCACATTTGTCTATACCATTCTTCTAAAAGAGTGTGAAGAGAGTTTACTACAAGCAGTTGATTCTGCTCTTGGAGTATTTAGTTTCTCCACTGTCAGAAAGTCAGTGGCTGTAAAAAATAGCATTTTATATTTCAGTTACACAGCGCTTCAACTAAAACAACAGGACAGAAAAGAGGTGAAGAAAACGTGACATTTCAGGTTGAGTCGCGCAACTTCCGTTACAATACAGACCTTAGTGTTTGGTCAGATTGCTGAGTAATCCCCTCTCTAAGTATGTCATTGAACTGGTATGGTTAATCTAAATATTTAATAAATAGTTAACATATAATAAATATTTAAATAGAACATGCTGGTTATATATTTATATAAATAAACCCTACTGGTTTCAAACAAAGTAGCAGAAAACCCATCCAGCACCTCTGGAAGTAGACATAGACTGTTCAGAAACTGTGAAATATTATTTATATGCTGCCAGCAGTGATTTAAGAACTTCACAAAGGGATGTATTCCTGCTCTGAAAAATTCGTAATTGAAATAGGAGTTCAGAATAATTGTCACATTTCTTTGCAATCACTGGAAAGCTGGGGAACTCTGAACTAACATGAGACTGAACAGTTGATGCCCTCAGTAATGCTGCCTGTTGATTTGCACTGATGAAATGAAAAAGCATAAATTGCTTCCTTTCATGCTTTTCTTGCTCTGCAGGAAGAAGACTCTAATGTCCAAAATTGTTAACAGTCTAAAATTACCTTACCAATTCAAAAGCAATAACATAATGCCTCAAACTGTGATAAAATACATCACTGAACTGTGCTTTCAGTTTTGAGTATTATATTTCTATGGCTAATATACATCTTCCATATAGATGACACAAGAAAAAAGTATTAAGAAGGATTCAGCATCAAAGCCGGGGATAATGCAAAGCTGACTTCTGTGTTACGCTAGCTCTGTAGAGAGCTTCTTGGACATAGAGACAGATCAGTCCACCCTGCCAAAAGGTTTACCTTGCTCCTGCCGCTCCATGTGCTGAGGCATGTTTTTTCTGGGTCAATTTCTAATGCAAGTCTAACACTTCTTTCAAGTACTATATTTATTGTAAGCTTCTGTTTATTCTCGGCATCCTTCCTTTGTGTTGGGTTCCTGTCACTGCCTGGCTTGGTGAACTTCAGTTGCCTCATTTCCTCAGCTGCTTTCACACTATGTGATGACATTCTTGCGTCCTGTCCCTGTCCCCCCCTCCCCATTCTGCTCCTGTTGTCAAAGGGACAGTTAGTAGCTGAGAACAAAAGATGCGCTTCTGAGCCATATATATTGTATACAGTGAGGGTTATTTAAAGACGGGCAGGTGGGGCTTCAGTTTTTGTACCAATAGTGTTAGTTTTCCTTTCTGTACTTTTGCAACAGCCTCTAGACTTGAAACAATATGGTCATTCGTGTTAGCTTTCTCTTTGAGGTTGGGCCTCCTCAGGAGATGTGCTTCATTTTCTCCATAAATACATGCATGCATTTCACTGTGTAGCAGGTGGAGGTATCTAGCAGGACCAGTTTTTGAATCATGTTCATTGAGCCCGGGTGGAAGGCTGCGCTTTGCTGTCTGCTTGCTGTCATGCTGTCAAGACTAAATGCATTAACGGTGCCCTGAACAGCCCACTGGGTTCTCCCTCGCTCCCATGTGTGGGCCTGGGGTCCCCCATCGTGCCCTGAGCTACACTATAAGTGGGCCTGGCTTACTGGCTGTTCTCCTGTATGTGCTCTGGACCTACATACTGGGTCACCTTGTTGAGGGTTTAACATCCTGGTGTGGTTAGCTGGAATAAGAACTGGGCTCAGAGAGGCAATCTATCATTTGAAAGATATCCCAGAGCTGCAGTTTGTGAGGGTGCGAAGTAGGCCTGTAAGAGCAGTAAGCATAAAGGCTTAGATCCTTCAGCACAGGCTGCAGCAGAGCGAGGACCAGCCAGCTTCCTATGACACTTGTGCAAGTGTCATGTGTGGCTGTTGAGAAATACATTGCTTCAAGCTTCCACAGCTCTATAGAAAGCTATCTATGTTAAGCCTCTTCTCTACGAGTTGCAGGTAGTGGCACTGTGGGTGTTAAGCCAATTCGGTTCCGCTACCTTTTATCATGTCTTGTACATGTACGTGTATCAGTCAGGTCCTCAGCAGACTGAGGTCGTCAAAACTCAGTGGTCTTTGATACTAGTTAATGAACAGCCCCTTTTCTCCCACCAGCCAGTGGGGAAGAAATGCTAAGTTCTTTGACATGTTTCTCTTACTGTCAGAAGCGGTTTCTGCACTCTCAGGTCCATGGCTGTATCCTAACTTGGTCTCACCACTGCCCCTCATGCCAGTGCTGTGCTTGACTTACAAAATCAGAATTACAAAAGAAATGTGGGTAATGAGATCCAATCAACGTGAAAAAAATATGTTAATAGAGTATTAACTCTATTAATTCTCTCTTCTGTATTTCCGACAAATCATGGGTGCGTGACTGCAGAGTAGCAGTTGACATTTCAAACTGAGTTTTTAATTGCTTTCATGAACTCTGTGTTGGAGCAGTTCTTGCACGGTTATGTGATGCTATCAATGAAACTTCAGATTCTTCAGAGAGGCAGGTGTTTTTTTAGTGCCTAACTTCCAATATAGATCTGATGTCCTGACATATAGTTAAAGATCAGATGACTGTAACTGGCAGGATTATCTTCAAAAAGAGATATAGAAGTAGGATCCTGATGTGAGGTTTAACTTGAGGACATTACATACGCTTTTTTCTTATGAAAATTATGATTGTAAAATATATGGTTTTGAATGAGATATCACAAATGTCAAAGAACATACATAGGATTACACTGATGTAATTGCTGGTGAAAAACTGCATATAGCGGGTCAAGTAAAACAAGAATTATTTGGTATCTGTATTCTGATTGTTTGATATCTGTTTTGGAGCTGCTCAAAAATCTCACTGTCCTGTCAGTAATTGCAGCATCCTGAAGAAATGTTCTGACCAGGGAAAATAATATGCTAAGATTTCCTTCTTATATACTTCTACAAGGTTTTCAAAACTATTCTTACAAAGTGTTCAGAGGAACATGCAGTAGGAAGAACACAACAATTCATATGCTGCTTCAGATTTATGAAGTAGCTGCAATACAGAGACTTTTAGTTCTACTTTGAAGCCTCTGGGAGAAAATACCAGTGAATAATAACAGTATGGCAGAAAAATAAACATTGAGAAATGGTTATCCATTTTACAGAAAACCAGAAACTTATATACTTGAAAAATTATAGGACAGTTACCCTCTCATGCATCCCAATATTGAATTTACATATTTCTGTGAATCCCATTCTGAATTATTTTTTTAATGTCAGAAGAATGTCTGTTTACAAAAGGAGATTAGAGAGTAGATAAAAAGAGGTTACAGTAAAGGTCTACGATCAGAGCCTCTTTTTTTCATATACAAGATTTTGAAGTAAGCTATTAAAAGCTTGTTTTTTTCTTGGTTTTCTTATTTTCTGTTACTTTATCCTATTTGGCTTATCTTTTCTTTTGCTTTCCAAAGGCTCTTCAAACCTATTTTTCACCGTCTTCCATCTGATGGTGCTTTCCTTCACCTCTTGCTCTGGCTCCAAGCTAGTTGTTTCCTTGGCATCTCATTCCATTAATGCTAGGGGCGATCATACATGATGCTACAGTGTATGGAGAAAATAAAAGTTAAAGGCTGTTGCTGTGGTCCATTATTAGTATGATTTAACGTGCAGGCAACTGGTACAGTTAAACTGAACCTCCTTTTCCCTCCCTTAAATGTTGGTAAAATGGCAACTGTTTGTTTTGGGATCATGACAACATCTTCCAACACTGTGACGCACTTTGGTTCCTCTGTATATCTTCTAAGGAGATGTGATGGCATTAAGCTTTCAAGAAATAAGCTGAACTTGCCCCTTCTTAAAAGACCTGCTGGAAGGGTCATACTTTTTGTGTAAACTATCACGTCCAACAAGCTGTAGTCTCCTGATTAAATGTTTTTTATGAGTTGAATATCTGGGAGCAAAGAAAACAAAGAGTGGTGGGCATTATAGCATGTGGTGGTCTGGATTGTTGTTTTACCCTTCTTTTGAAGGTATCTGAATTCTTTTGGTTGAGGCTAGGTGCAAAACATCCTGTATTAGCTAGGTGCAAAACATCCTGTATTAATTTGTTATGAGCAGACCAGAAAATGCAAAAAGCATGTTTCCCTGTGAGCACAAACCTGTGAGCCTTTATTTGGTATTTGGCTTATCACAGCTTCCCTGTCCAATGCTGGGGTAGTCACTCAGCCTCTTGTCTGTAAAACACAGACACATTGTTTTCTCTTAGTGGTTCTCTTTCATTATAAGTCCTGTTTTATTTGCCACCCTATGATCTTGTGAGGATTACTGAAGCAATAATTGTGAAGGATCTAGAGCTCAGTGATAGGAATTGATAGAAAAAGAATTTGTGTGGTCCTCAAGGGGAGCATCTAGCACACCTATGTGAGTCTAGACTGTTCCTCAGAATGTGTGGGTTTGGCTTCCTCATAAACTGTGTGCTTTTAATTTAATCTTCAGTTTTCTGCTGTTGATAAGACACTTCTTCAAGTTAGGATTAAAGAAAACCTACCCAGCAACTCAAGTGTATTTACTAGTATAACAGCTAATAGCCTGGAAAGAAAAATGCTCTATTTGTAAAGGAGATGCAGCCATCAGAGTGTATAATGGAGTTTCATCTCTGTGACTTTGGATGCAACAGTTTTCTGATACATGGATTCCTGCTCTTCAAAGTTTCAGTACATTCTGGCTCATTAGTAACTAAGAGATTAATGCTTGTCTGGAAGAAAAATATGTTACTTAGAAGGATCTAAATTCCTCTGAGATGTATGTATGCAACAATTTGCAGTTAACTGACTTGAGAGTTTGGCATAGCTTAGTGAAAGTACAGTCTAGATCAGTATGACTGATACTGTGTGTATCTTGATTCATTTTACTGGAGTGATGTGTACGGTATAAACAAGGAGCAGGAGGCACCCATCTGTGTGAAATTACGCATTTCATTTCTGACGCAAAGTTAACACTCTTAAGATTTGTCAGTATTTTTTTTCTTTTCAGTGTGACATCAAAAATAATTGAAGCCACATCCTGCTTAGCTGTATTTGCAAAATCCTAAGCATGGCTGGAGCTGTGTGAACACAGTGGGTTTCTGTTAATTTAATCCATCTGGATGTACTGCAAATAGCTGATCAGATGACTCCTGTTGGCATAGTCTGTGATGCCATTTGGATGATCTTCTGACATACCTGGGTTAGTGTAATGTCCACGTGACGTATTGTTTTTCAAAATGTATGATTTACCTGTGCAAAAGGTGGAGACCATGAAACACAACACAACACAACAATTACTTTTCTAAATGAACAGAGTATGCACTTATTTATGATTCTGTGCTTTCTTGATTTTAATAACAAAAGGATTTTTATTTTGTTCTATAGTTTAGAATGTGCAGTTCACCTACATTTTGAATGAATGTGTTATCATCTCTAACTTATTCACCCTCAAGAAGCTTAAAGTAAAAATTTCCCTGTCTCTATTCCTTAATGTTGGAAGCTACAGGAGAGTGATGTGAACAGACCCATAACAAGTCTGCACAACTCAGCCATTTAAACAATAGATAAAAAGGAATTTAAAAACATAATATTCTCTAACTTTCATTCAGACACAGTCTTTAATAAAACTGAAACTGTTCAAATGAACATTTTGTATTCTATTGAAACCTAAAGTATGCTCAAGTTTGCTTGTAACTGCACTAATTCTTTTATGTAACAGTATGGAGGTATCTAACTCATCTCTTTTTTTTTTTCCTCCCCCTAGTTAATGGTCTAATGACGCTTGGATTTGCAGGTGAGCTTTACTTCTAAAATTCAAAATTCTGTTGCTGTTTTCTTAATGGCAACCATTTGAGAAGTGCTTTCATCCTATCTCATTTCTATTAGTCAACCATCATACATTGTTTTCAACTGGTCTTGCCCATCAGCTGTATAAACAGAGAGTATTGTAGTGTTTTGTAAAGGTTAGTCTCAATAGTGATGGTAAAATTGTATAATTATTCATAACTTTGAACTCCTTTGGCCAGAGATTTAGACAGAAACTCTTGTGTCATCAGGTTGTTCCTGTCAAATTACTCTATCAGATATTTTTCTATAACATTGCAAAAGATTGAAGTTCTGAAGAGAGCCAACCAGAAACACCAAGGCCATGGAAAATCCATTTAAATATCCTGCTGGGAAGAGGCTGGAGTATATTGTCTGCGCACATGACGTAATGGAGGAGAAACTTGTATTCTGTTGGATTTACAGGGTTATAAATCAAGTGATAGCTGGCTGTTTAGAATACCCTGCCAAGGAAGGCAGCTTTGCTTAACTTTTGTCAAAGCATCAATGCAGGATTTCAGTTGCCAGCTATGCAGTTTTCATATCTGGATTTGAATTCTGCCCAGCTTTAGTGTTCATCTGCAGATCTAGCTGTGGAAAGTATAGTTTATAACTGATGCAGCTGCCAGATGAATTGATGGGAATGCCTAAAGGGTCCATGCTGTCATGTTAGCTTCCCAAGGAAAAAACTGTGCTGCCCCTTTTTTGTAACTTCCACAGTTTCTATCACTGGTGATTAACTGTGGTTCCGATTTTATTCTGACATGGATGAATCCGTAGTGTCAGCTCGAAGAGCTTTGACAATCAGACATGACGAAGGACGTGGGGTCAGGTCCCAGTAAGACAGCCATACACCTGGAGAGGTTTGTGGTCTGTATGGCTTAGGGTCTCAGGTGCAGCATAGGCTGTCCAGTTATGGGCCTGATGCTCTTGGAAAGTATGTGAAAGCAAAGTATTTCTTTGGTCTGATGTGATGGGTGTCTCTGCTTGGCACATGGCATCACTGAGTCAGTGACTTCCCCAGCTGTGGAGTTAAATTGCAAGGTGCTCTTGCCTAGGCTCCAAAGGAGCCATCTCCTTGGTGGGTGAGACGCTTAACATGCATTCCTGTTTTACAATCACATGCCCCATTTTGAATGGAGATGTTCAAGTTTCTGACTGATGGCTGGGTCATGATGTGAAGCCTGAAATCAGTCATCTTGACTTAGTTTTTTTGGACCAAATAGTAAGGAGAAGTGCCCTGTTTAGAGCGAGAGCTGTGCCTCACTTCTCATCAAGCAAAGGCTTGCACGCCTTTGACCTCACTTCATCTGGCAGTGTGTTTGGCTGTCACCACACAAAACTAGAACCGCTGTCTATTTGCAGCAGTGATGGGATCCTGCTCTCAACATAACTAACAGAAGGAAAAGAAATACCTCCTCTCCCTGCTATAAATTAGGGTCTCAGTGAAAATGTAGGTTCAGAAGAAAAAGGTTCAAGATCTGATTCCACTTAGACTTCCTTTTTCTATGATTAAAAAAAGGATGAAGTGGTCTATTCTTGGCTTTATTTTTTTTAAAAAAAAGTGCTTCCTCCAGAGTTCTTGGAGGATTGCCTGACAGGTTTGCAGTTTTTTTCAGGTAAATCCTTTTCTCAGATTTTTCTGATTTTTTTTTTTTTTTTTTTTTTCCTGACTAATTTAATTTAGACATTTATATTAAATGTATTGGCATACATATACTTACAGGTAATTTTTAATGGTGTACAAAATGTATGTATTTTGTATATAGAAGAACAATCAAAATAGTGGCAATTGTAAAGGTAAAGCAAGACATATTTAACTACTTAAATGTTTCAGTCTTATCAAAATCAAATACTTTAGTTAGTCTGAACAGAATTGTTTCAGATTTTTAATTTTATAAGAAATATCAAATTACTACCTTTGTATTCCAGTGCAGGCATGGGCTGGATGAGAGGAACATTTTACTTTGACTCTAAATATTGTGGAGTTGCCGTTACAGGTTGCAAAAGATACAGGGTTAATCAAGTCAAGGTTAACTCTTTCCTTGTGAGTAGCTGTATGCTGTAACATCAACATCTGATAATGGTAGATAATTCCTTTAGTGACCATACTAAAGAAGCATCTTAATTTTGACTGGGAATTCAAGGCCTTTGCCTGATGAAAGATACTCAAATGTTTCTGATGAAGTACATTTACAGTCATATAGTTAGTTGAACAGGATGCATCTGTGTAAGCTTGGGAAATGCTTTCTACACTGAAGTATATGATCAGTAACTCCAGTTAACTTTTAACTAAAAATACAAATGGGCAGTAGTAACTTAGTATGAGTAGAAGCTAAGTAAGATTAGAAAATTGACTAGGTAGGTTCCTCTATGCTAGGTCTAAAAGATGCTACTATATATGGTAATGTACAGTATTACACACTGTTATTTTAAAAATAAATTTACATAGAGGTATATTTTATCTATTTTCTAAAGTTGTTTAGAAAGTTGAATGTTAGGTTTACAATGATGTAAGTGGCAAGCAGAATTATGTGAAGGAGTGAGTGATGTGTTCATGCTTCTTCTGTTTCAATGTTTCAGATTTAAGGGGCTTTCTGATTTTACCTAGGTGCATGTCAACAGACTAATCTCTGCAATGAATCTCTCATGTTAGAAAAGTTGCCTGCCTGTGGAAAATCCTTTGAAGACATGATGAAGAAAGTGGACTCTAAAAAATGGTGCAACCTGACAGAATTTATCATGTAAGAGTTTGTTTTGGTTTTGGTAGTTCTCACCTTACAGTGGTGTTTGTCCTTTAAAAAAAGGATCGCCTCAAATACCTACCACCCTAATATATCCCTAATGCATGTAAAATGTTTGTGTTCCAGATAAACTGAAATCCTCCTATATTTGCCAGTTGCAGAGGGCTCAGCTGTAGCTCTTAAGTCCCTGTGGTATGGTCACTTGTGCACAGAGACCCAGCTCTTAACTCCAAGAGTGAATGAAATAGAGCACTTCAATAAAAACTAACTAGTGGGCTAATCAGCACTATCTGCTATTGCTTTTACCTCAGACAGTTGTGTTTATATTTAATCCATGTTTCTGTGTATTTTAGGCAAATGTTACTTAAATTTCTTTTCTGTGAAACCGCTAAAGCAATGCACTTTTAGAATCATGCTGTTTTCTCTGTTGGTAGCAATGCAGTTCCCTCCTCTGATTTCTTTTTTTTCAGTAAGACGATAGGAACACTTCCTCAGACACAGAAAGCCACCTCTTGTGTGAAATTGTCTTGTCCAAATGTAAAATGATTTGCTGTATTGAACCTTGCTGTGGCTTGTTTCTTTGCCTGCCAGATAGCATGGAGAGAGTGAGCACCAGACACTTTATTTTAATGAGTAGAATAGTGCAAGACTGACAGTAGCGACCGTGGCATTTTTATTTTCTTATATCTATTCCTGTTCTGTAGTTGCTGGGAGTATTTAAACATTTCTCTCTAAAGCTGCACACTTCAGATTCTGCTCTGAAGGGAACTCACAGGGCTTGTGTTATCGGTGGCATTTTTGGCTTTGTGGAGCATCTGCTTTTTCAAAGGATGTCTGCTTGTGCATAAGCCTTGGTTTTAAGAAGTGATGAGTACCCTCTACACCAACTGAAATCAGAGGAAACTGCAGGTGTTCAGCACTTCAGAAAATGAGACTCAAGTGAATTCGCTCTGGTGTGGTGTGAGCCAGCCTGAAGCAGAAAAATCTTCCTGGATTTGAAACTCTGCTAGTGGTGTTTCAGGAGCTGGCAGGGTAGCCACAAGCTAGCTGTCACCACATCTGTTACAGCATCGTTTAGCCCCAGCTATGTTCTTGTGTCGTGTGATCTTTGGTTGTGTCTCCTATTTAGTATCACTTCATGTGATGCAAGATTTTTCGGTCACCTTATGCAAGATTTTAACTAGCTGATCACCGATAAACACGATAGATAATGAAGTTCTATGTTGCAGCACTTCCCTGTTTTAATTTTACGTCTGACACCTATGCTGAGATGTCCCACCTGTTGATAATGTTTCATAATCTGACAACATATTAGCAATTTAGATACTATTCCTTCTTAGCACTTTAATTTTCATACCCTATCTAGGGGATATCTTCTTATCCAGCTGTCAGAAAATGCATTCAAATGTGCATATACAAAGGAAAAAAGAAAATCCTTGCAATGTAGGTACTGCTAAATTTATTTAAGAAATACCTGTATGTTAAGGGGCTGTAATTCTAATTTTACAACTCATCTAGGTACAAGTTGTTTCACATATTTTGAAGGAATTACTGTAATTTTGCTCCATTTGATCTTCATTACAGTTGTATTATAATCACAAACCAGTACTTTACTAGTATCTTGTTCATATTGATAAGTGTCCTCAACTGATGGGACTACTTGCAGTAGACAAAGGTACCTACAGGAGTCAAAATATTAGACTCTGCCTTTGTTGATGCAGGTGAAGAAGCAGGCAGCTTTTTCCAAGCCTTGCATGAAAATTTCTTCGAGTTTAAATATTTTGGTGCAATGTTCTTCCAAGGTTTGGAGGTGACTGAAGTCTGAGTTATCTTGACTTTCAATTAGAGTTAAGAATCCACCTTGCTCTCATTCTTTCCAATAGCACTTCCTGTTCAGTGTCACTTTTATTCCTGCCTATCTATGGGGATTGTTTTGTCTGAACAAATCGATCAGTCTGAGGCTTTGCTCATTTTTCTTCATATGCAGTACCAAAAGAAGAATTCCAGTCTCTTCCAAAGAAAAATATGTTACATTTTTACATAATATACAGTTTTATAAAACTTCTTTTTATCACATATATTTCAAGTTCTAGCTTAGGAGAAAGTAGAGGGAGGAATTTGTTTTGCAATTATTTCCTGAATTGAGTATTATCAAGCATTATCCATCTCTTTACAAAGTTATCGTAAGAGTTCATTGCACTGAAGAAACAGCACATTTACATCTACCTTTAGAAATTTTACCTTTTGGAGGACATTGTGATTTGATGTCATGCTTTATATAAGAATTTTATAGGCTAATTTCTTCCAGCTCATTGGAGCAACCCTGATGGATGGGCTTGAAACAGTTCTTTATTTAGAACATTCTGACAAATTAATGAAAAGACGGTATATCTAGCCATAGTCACTTAAAATTCAGATATTTAAACCTGGTAGTATTAGTTTACCCTGTTTTTACATCTAGCCTCCAGCTGTAAAAATTAGTCAGTCTGGATCAGATAGTGGGTTAAAACTTTGAGTTTTGTATGAAAGAAACTTCTTCATACAGTAATTTCTGCACGGCACTTTTCACTTACAGAGATGTTGCAAAATTTGGCTTTGTATCTTATATCAAAATGTATTTATTTATGGAAATCTGCTTAATTTCTAAACTCTTTGTTTTATGGTGGATTTTTAGCTCTTCACAGTAAATGGCTGTGGTTGGTTATGGGATTATAAATAGCAATTACCTGCATTGCTTCACTGTTTGGCCAAACAGTCATGAGAGATTTCAGAGACTTCAATTTTCTGTAACTTAACTATACTGTAAGATTTTCTGACAGCTCCTTTACTTATTTCTTAACTTTATTCTTGACAAACTTGTGTAATTTCAAAAGCAGCCTTTTGACTGATTTTAAATAGAAGAGGCTCTCATCTGTGGCAGCTGGTACTGGAAACCAATATAAGAGTTTTAGCCTCTACAGCTGATCTTGGTCTTGCTGGAAATGTATAACGATGACATATAGACCCTAAAATTTCAGGTAAAATTTTACACAAGCACTGTCAGGAGAAAGTTTTCCCTATTAGTTTTCACATTTTTCTATGAGGATTCATACAGAAATTAGGATACAAATACTCTGAGTCAGATTGTCCAAAGGTATTTGAATACTTAAATATGATGAGGGATCCAAGTGGGATTTAAAAATATTCTAAGTCATTTAGACATGTGGGTTTCAATGGTTCATGCTTGGACACCAGAATGTGAAGGACAACCAGTAATACTTTACCAGAAAGATAAAACCTTCAAAAGACAGCTGGAGACGTTCACTGACATGAGAGGAGGTGATCAGCTGTTCACAGTTTTGCTGATGCTTTTAGGCTATTCAGAGGGAGCCCTGAAGATGGAAATGTGATTGAGTGGTTTAAATGACAGGAAATTATGGTACATGGAAAGTGAACAAGCAGAGTCTGAAGTGTGGGTGAAAGCTAATGTGGGGAGTTAACGAAGGCAAATAGACTTTTAGTTTGCCAGAAGACTGGAAGCTGCAGAGAAAGCTTTTTCTTTTTAAGGTATAATATAATACTTCTGTTATGTTTTTATATACATATATATGCACTAACATATATATATTTCTGCATTTTATATATATTATATATAGTAACATATACATTTCTGTATTCTATTCTTAATATTTAGCTAAAGCAGTTAAGTATATAAAATCTACTACTGTCCACAAACCTAAGCTCCTTATTAATGGTCAGATTTTTTTCACCATGCTCTATGTGATAAATCCTGGACTGCTTACAGTGGGACCACAGTCAAAAGGCCAGGTATGACTGATTCCTTAAGCAGGAGCCCAAAGCTGCCTTACATGAACCTGAAAAAATGTTGCTTATTGTAGTTGTGAAGATTACTTCCTATTCTTAGCTAATGAAAGGGTTTTCTAAATATTTTTAGCTAGATCCTGGAAACAATTTAGCTAGAACAAACAGTCTCTCAACAAATCTCCGTGTCTCTCTCAGCCCTAACCTGTATGGAAATATGGGACCAAAATGTGATCATGCTGGTTCTCAGTGGCTCATTCAGTTTTTTGGCCTGCTTCCAGGCAATGGTATCTCCTCTCTCTTCTGCATCCCCATTTTCCAAATGTTTCTGAGTGTACTTACTAGCATTTCAGTAATTTTCAGGCCAGAGAGATGGCTATGGCCATCTAGTCTGCACTGTTGAATAATACAGGCCATGCAATTTGCTCATTAGTCACTATTTTAAACCTTGTAAGGGTTTTAAAGTGGGTATCTTATGGGAAGGCATCAACTCCTCATTTTAATGGTACCAAATGAGTATTAATCTGTTACATCTACAGGCAGATTGTTCCAAAAGGTTCACTGTTCAGAGGAAAACGTGTCTTAATTTTCATCAGTTTGCCTGACTCCAGTTCCCAGCAATTATACTTTCTTACATATTTCCCCGATACAGTAAAATTCCTTTTGTTGTCAGAAATCCTTTTTTCTCAATTAAATACAAGCAAGTCACTTTTATGTCACCTCTCAATCCCCCCTTTTTTTTTTTTTTTTTAAATTAAGTTCAAACTATTAAAGTCTGTCATGATAATGCATTTATTGCAGATAACTTGAACCCCCTGCAAGTTTTGGTGGCTTTTCTTTTGGAGAATGGATTCCAGTCTAGAACTGAACATTTCACCCAGCAGTAGTTTGCATAGTATTATGTACAGACTCCCTATTTTTACCTCTAATTCGACTGGGTATTCAGCATTTTTCTTCTGCCAAAATATATGTGTATTGCATTAGCACTCCTAGCTACTTCCAGGAGGACGTGCTCTAAAAGCTGTACATGATCTTAAGTCCCTTTCAGATTGTGACTTTTGTGGTGTATATTATTTGTTTCTGGATCTATCATCTTGCATTTACCAGTCTTAAAATGTATATGGTTTAGATAAGTCCCCATTTGTCAGGGATCCAAATCAGTCTGTATAACAACACCAACATCTACTCCTTCATCATTT